GAAGGAAGGAAGGAAGGAAGGAAGGAAGGAAGGAAGGAAGGAAGGTAGTCTCTTAGTGGGTTTAGAATTGTGTGCATCTGAACCAGGAGGATTCAGATCACCCTGGGTGGCATGGGGGATGGGAGGACCATGGGGGTCAAGGGCTGAGGCTGCCAAGTCAGGAGACGAAAAGAAGGACGTGAGGGCTGGTGGATAAGTGGGGGAGATGTCTCAACGCCTTCATGTGGGGGGAGGGCACCGCCACCAAGAGCAAGGGCACGGAAAAGCGCTGGAGGGCGAGGGCGGGTCAGCGCACGTGGGTCAAACTGCCCTGGGGCTTGGCTGGAACCAGGTCAAGGGAGCTGGAGGAGGCAAGGCCTGCTGGTGTGGGGTAAAGCTCCCAGAAGCGGGTGGGGCTGCATAGCTGTGGGAGCCCAGTAAGCCTATCTGGCAACCTTGAAATAGCTTGTGCTCTTTCTCTCCGCTCCCATCCTCAGCGGAGCCCAACCGACCCACTATCTCTCACCACCCAGGGAGGTGCTGTGTCTGGGCACTGAGTCTCCCGGAGTTGGTTCTCTGCACTCTCAGACCCCATTCCCTGTTTCCACCACTTGGTGGCGGCATGCTCGGTGCGTTCAAACTCCAGCCACTGCAACCTGCTTGGTCAGGTGGATTTCCAACAACTTCTATCAAGCCTCATCCTTGATGGGACCTGTGGCCGCTGAGATGGGTGACCTCTGCCCAGGGGTTTCTGGATTCCTGAAAGCGCTCCAGCCGTGCTTGCTGCTCCCTGGAGTTCTGCTCATCTGGCATATCCTGATAGGCAAGTGCATCCAGACACTGGCGAATGGCTGGAGTACCAGAACTATAAAGTGGCTTCTGCTCCCCTTGTGTCTCTATGACTAAAAGTCCTGCAATTCTGGAGCCCTGCAAGATTTTGGTCCCATGTCGAACCTGTCCTACAAATGCCTCTGAATTCGTCCCACCGATAGCAACATAAAGGCAGGGGTGACATTACACTTTTGCTGACCAACTTCTCGGATTTCCGGAGGCCAGGGCTGTCTGACTGGACTGTTGAGGTCCTCCAACTTCACTTTGTCCTCCCCAGCAGCTCTCAAGAGTCCTGCCATCAAGAGTCACATGTATGGAAGCCTTACCATGTACCAGGCACAGGGCCAAGCTCTTCACTCAGGTTGTTAATCCTTTCAAGAGGATTTTTTCTTAATTTTTATTATATATATTTTTATTTTATTTAAAAAAATTTTTTTGAGGCAGGGTCTCCCTGTAGCTCCAGCTGGCCTGGAACTCACTATGTAGACAAAGCTGGCCTTGAACTCACAGAGGTCTGCCTGCCTCTGCCTCCTGAGTGCTGGGATTAAAGATGTGTACCACCATCCCCAGCTATTTTAAAAAAAATATTTGTTATTTTTATTTTATGTGTATGAGTGTTTTGCCTGCATGTAGGTAAGTGCACCCGTGTTGTGCAATGCCCACCGAGGACAGAAGAGGCTGTTGGATCCCCTGGAGTTACCAAAAGTTATTAGCTGCCATGTTATGAGTGTGTTGCCTGCATGTATGTAAGTGCACCCATGTCTGTCGTGCAATGCCTTCAGAGGTCAGAAAAGGGCATCGGGTCCCCTGGAACTGGAGTTTTGGACAGTTGTTAGCTGCCATGTGGGTGCTGGGAATAAAACCTGGGCCCTCTGCAAGAGCAGCTAGTGCTCTTAACCACTGACCCATCTCTCCAGCCCCCTTGTTTCCTAATTTTTTTAATTTATTAATTTAATTTAATTTTTTAAACTTTATTTTTATTTTATGTGTATCAGTGTATTGCCTGCATGTATGTGAGTGCACCCATGTCATGCAATGCTGCAGAAATCAGAAGAGGGCTTCAGATTCCCCTGGAACTGGAGTTAAGGATGGTTCGTAGCCACCGTGTGGGTGTTGGGACTCGAACTTGGGTCCTCTCCAATAGCAGCCAGTGTTCTTAACCCCTGAGCCATCTCTCCAGTTCTCTTTTAAAGCCCAAGTTGACACAGATGGAAAGTGGTGAACATTGCTGTCCAGCTGTGGTTTTTTTTTTTTCCCCCTCCGCATGTAAGAGTGGGTTCCCTCTCCTCACAGATGCCCTCTGACTCTCTCCTTCCAGGTGTGAGCTTAGGGGCTCCTTCCCTTGAAGGTCTCTTCTCAGCCCTCTGCTGGGCTCACCCTGAACCACAGCAGAGCTGAGTGAGATGTTTTCAGTCTTCACCCTTCACCAGGGACTAGCACATTTCCCAAGGGCAGGGTGTACTGGGGTAGAGCGCATCCCTGCATCCCTGTGGTACAGCAAGTTGTCCTAGTTCCCAAACCTGCACCTCACACTCTGAACACCACAATACCCTACCGTCTCAAGTTCTCCTGTTTCAGAAGGACTCTATCTTCCAAGTCACCAGCAAACTCCCAGAATCCTTTGGTTGAAGGAAGTAATGAATTACCTAGTTAAAATCCTTCACAGTTGGGGGCTGGAGAGATGGCTCAGTGGTTAAGAGCACTTTTGCTGAGTTCAATTCCCAGCACCCATAGGGCAACTAACAGCCATAACTAACTCCAGTTCCAGGGGATCCAATGCCCTCTTCTGACCTCTTCGGACATTGCACAATACAGGTACACATAAAGTAAAAATAATAGATAAAAAAATTCTTCATGGTCATGGAGGCGGAAATGGTAGAGAGACTTAAAGTTGAAATATATGATGCAGTAAAGGGAGTTTGCTTCTTTGCCCCCCAGCCTTGGAGAGGGATGTTTCTATCCCCTCCCCTTAGAAGCTAGTATCAATTTCTCCCCAGGGATTTGGTCAGTGCAGGGTGGGCTTGGGGGCATAGAACTAAGTGAACCAGTGTATGTGGCTAGGGGGAGGAGACTCTGCAAATCTTTTGTTCATTTGTTTTGACTATGTAGACCACGCTGGCCTTGATCTCACAGAGATCTGCCTGCCTGAGCCTCCCCAGTACTGAGATTAAAGGTGTGCATCATCACACCTGCCTGATTTATTATTTTTATTTTAAGAGTGTTTTGCCTGCATATATGTCAGTGTACCACACATGTGCAATGTCTGTGGAGTCCAAAGGAGAGCACTGGGTTTCCTTAAACTGGAGTTACAGACAGCTGTGAGCCACCATATTGGTACTGAGAACTGAACCCAGGTTCTTTGCAAGGGCAAGTGCTCTTAACTGCTAAACCAGCTTTCCAGCCCCTTTATTTGTAACTGTGTGTACATGTGAGTGTCTGTGTGTGGGTTTGTGGACTGCAGGCCCGGAGGAGTCCAGAAGAGTTGAGATGGAGTCCTTGGAGCCAGAGTTACAGGCGGTTGTGAACCACCTGATGTGGGTGCTGGGGACTGATCTCAGGTCTTCAGCAAGAGCACGCTGTTAACCACTGAGTCATCTCTCCCGTCCTACAAATCCTTTTTGAGTGCTTAAATAATAATTAAATACATTGGAAGTTAATCCCTAGGCATGCTGGACTCAAATGTAAGTGAGAACCAGGAATTCAGCACTCCTGAGCCCTGCTGGGACAAATTCTCATAATTAGAACTGTCGTAAGGATGGGTGGAAGTGAGGGCCAAAAACATTTGGGCCTGACGTTGCACAGAATAGTACTCCATGGCTGTTGGTGATGGGGCCTTGCATGCCAGATAAAAAGAGGGGGGGTGTGAGCTCCCCTTCCCAGGCTGCTTTAGCCGCCCCCTCCCCGTCCTGGTAGGACTGATTGGCCTCATGGTCTCCAGGGCTTTCCACCCCTGCTGGGGGAGAACTGTAAGAGACTTGGGGCTGCCAGCGAGGATCAGGACAGGAAGGAGGGGTCTTTCCAGCACCCTGGACAGAGCCTGCCTTGTCTAAGCCCCGCAGGTGCCTTCCAGTGTTTTGGTACTGTGGTTCTCAACAGTTTCCAATACGGTCCGCGGAGGTGGCGGTTGTCCGGCCAGCCGGCCGAGGGAGGGGAGCCCGCAGCAGATGGACGGGGGACGCCTGCCAGTTTGCTGCAGCAACGGCCATGCGTCGCGGAGGCGTGTCCCGGCCCACTGGGGCGGAGGCCAGCAGCCCTGGCGAACACCCAGGACCGCCCCGCTCGCCTGTCACGTGACCCTGACTGTCCCACGGGTGGAATCAGGGGTCCGAAGTCAGTTGAACATAAACTCAGAGGACCCTGGGTTGCGTTTTCTTTGAGGGCGGGGGGCTCAGGTTGCCTTTCTAATTTCAAGGGCGCAGGAACCAGATGATCTTTAAGTCTGTGAGCTGCCAGGGTTTTTTATGGAGCGCTTAGAGCCAGGGGTTCAGTGACCCGGGCCCAGGCCAGAGAAAGATTGTACCTTGCCCGGCCTCGGTTTCCAAGTCCAGCTCCGCTCCGCTGGTGGAGCGAGTCTTAAGTCTTGTGGACTCTCCCTGAGGCCCCGGCGTCGGCAGTTCTGCGTCCGCTGCATCCCTGGGGAGGGGCTCCGAGGGGCGCTAAGTAAGCACCCTGGGGCCTCAATGAAGCCGCAAGGTGCTGGAGAGGAGGGAGGCGGGGCAGCCAGAACCGGGGGAGGCCTGGCCGCAGCCACCCTTCTTGTCCGGGGGGGTCAGCGCCGCCGCATCCCAGCGACCCCACCGCAGATGGACCCGTAAGGCCGGCGCGGAATCCCTGGGGACGTCCCTGGCTGGTCCTCTCCAGCCCCACCCTGCGGCGGGACAAAGGCAGGAGGTGGGGGCGGCGGGCCGCTGGACGCCGAGGGGCGGGGCGGAGCAGGGACACAACCTCCTTAAAGCCGGGGCTGCGGGCGCCGCGCACTCTTCTTTGGCGGGAGCTGGGGCCAGGCTTCGAACTGGGCTGGGGGTTTGCTTCTTGGCTCTGCCTCACAGCAAGGGCCAGCCTCCTCCACCTGCCAGACGGGACCCTCAGGGGCTGCCGCTTTCCCGGGGAGGATGGGACTGCCTAGGAGAGTAGGGGATGCGGCAGAGCTGCGCAAGGTAGGAGCCTCGAGCAGGGCCTTGGGACGGGGAGGAGTTCGCCATCCAACTAAACTTACGCCTCTGCGCCCACCCTCGGTCCCGCAGAGCCTGAAGCCGCTGCTGGAGAAGCGCCGGCGCGCGCGGATCAACCAGAGCCTGAGCCAGCTCAAGGGCCTGGTCCTACCCCTGCTGGGCGCGGAGGTGAGTGTCTGGGTACTGGGTCGGGGGGCATGGAGATGGAGGGTCCCGGGGTGGGTGGGTCGGTGTGGTCCCCCCACACCGGGAATCCGAAGGTCACTGTGGTCGGCTCTGCGCGCATGTGGATTGGAAGTGCACGGCGCTCAGCTGCTGGGGGTTCTTTGGTTTCTGTTCCTCTCGCTCTGGCCCGGCGTAGACGTCCAACTACTCGAAGCTGGAGAAGGCAGACATCCTGGAAATGACCGTGCGCTTCCTGCAGGAGCAGCCTGCGTCCTCCTGCCCCGCTGTAGGGGCTGGTAAGTGATCCTGCGCCCCTCTCGCTGCATGCCCTGCAGCCGGCACCCCGCACGCCACGCTGAACTTCAGGCTGCTCTCTGTCCCGCAGAGCCCTTGGACAGCTACCTGGAGGGCTACCGCGCCTGTCTGGCGCGCCTCGCACGCGTACTGCCAGCCTGCACCATCCTGGAGCCTGCGGTGAGCGCGCGCCTGTTGGAGCACCTGCGGCGGAGGACCGCCAGCACCACCTGTGACGGCTGGCGCGCTGGGGACTCAGTTGACGGGTCCTCACAGATGCCACCACCTGCGCCGGCTCCTGTGCCCTCACCGCCTGTGCCTCCTGGCAGCCCTGGCCTCTGGAGGCCTTGGTAGCCCCCTGGCTGGTCCACACACTCTGCTGGTTAGCAGGAACCTGGACGGCCTACCTGACCAAGGAAGCTCTCGGGGGTGACTGCGGCTCTCTCACTGCCTTCGGATACAGTCTAGCAACCACACCCAGGCAGAACCGGATGCTGAGACTCTTGTGGGTGACTGAAGGCCTCAAGGACTCAGCTGGCCAGATAAGGGAGCTGCTCTGCCTCACCCCAGGTTTGGAGTGTCTGGGCAGGAGGAGAAACACCAAGTGTCTGCAGCGTGAGGAAGAAACCCGGACCCAACTTGTAGAAGAGGTTCTGGTACTCGGCCAACCAAAGCTGCCTGGCAGCAGATCAAGGTCTGGTCCTGGAGCTCACCTGGGCCAGGGGTAGCCACCTGCTCTGATGGGTCACTGCCTTTCCAGCCACACCTGGATGTACTTCCTGCCTGGCTGGGCCTGGGAACCTCCAGGCACACAGAGCAAAGACTTGGGGGGCTTTGACCACTCCCAAGGCTCTGCAGAACACTAGGACAGAGGATATGTAGGGCTAGGCAACTATCTCCTGTGTTCCTAGGCTGCCCAAAGATCTGTGCTGCCTGCTGTGGGAGCTTCGTTATGTGGCCCTCCAAGTGCCATTTCTCCCACACACCGGGCCAGGTGCTCTTGAGGTGTGAGGAAAGGGTGGGGAAGAATTAGGCTGCCCTGTGGCCTCAAGGAAGTTCATTACTTTGGAGGATCTGAGCAGAGATGGAGCCAGTGTTGAGCATGGAATGGCAGGAATTCAGGAGATATCAACAGATTAAGTAACAAGAACCGCCTTGTCTGGCTTTCTCCTGTAAACCACTCCCTGAACTCAGACAGACAGGGTTACTAGAAGCTACTTGTTCTGGAGCTATTTCTTCCCCCCATAGAAGCCAGGAGGCCTTCGAAGACTCTGGGAAGCTGGGAGAATTTGTGAACCGCTGTGGGTTCAAGTCCCATTGTTACCTGGGGCTTTGCTGAGTATTGCAGGACGGTTATGATTTCTGCCTAGCACCCTGTACTGGGAACCAATACATTAAGCCCAAGAAGACAGATTGATCAGGGAAGGGACAGTCACTGAATTAGCTCTGCCATGCAAACGCATGATGATCTGGGCACTGATTTGAGTGGCAGGGGGTAGGGGAAGTTGGAGGCATTATTGAAGAAAGAAAAGCACATCAGGCTCCCGGCCAGGCTGTGCTAGGCCCAGCTGACTAGACTGTAAGCCCCTGGAGGGCAGGGCTAGAACAGAATGTACTTCCATGTCCCTGAGATACTGGGTACACAGTGGTGTCAAAATGTTTAATAAACATGGTGGGTTAATGAAGAGATGATGTAATTAGCCCACATAGTGCTGAACATTGGACAGGATGGCTTCTGTCTTCATTGCTACCCCTAAGGTCCTGGGTCGCCTGAATATTTGTTCCATCAGGGCACAAATGTAACTTTGAGTTTGGTGGAGAGACTGAGGAGCAGGTAACCCCTGGACCAAGCCCATCCAATGGGCTCTGAGATTCTTCTTGGATCTAAGGAGAAAGAAGACACTTGTTCCCACGTATAAGAACTCTCAGTACAGGCCAACAGGGCTGCAGAGTGACTCCATCTCAAAAAGCCAGTGTCCGTGCTGTACAATGCCCACAGAGGCCAGAAGAGAACATCGGATCCCCTGAAACTAAGGTTATAAACAATTATTACCACCAAGTGGGTGCTAGGAACCAAACCCAGGTCCTCTGCAAGAGCAGCCAGTGCTCTTAACTACTGAGCCATCAAGCTAGCAAGCTATTTCTCCAGTCCCATTTATTTATTTATTTTTATTTATTTATTTACTTACTTTATTTATTTATTTATTTGAGACAGGGTCTCCCTGTAGCTCCATCTGGCCTAGAACTCACTAATGTAGACCAGGCTGGCCTCATTCTTACAGAGATCCACCTGCCTCTGCCTCCCTGGTGCTGGGATTAAAGGCGTGTGCAACCTGGTGTTTTATTTTTTTATTTTTTTGAGACAGAGTCTCACTATGGATGGTCTCAAACTCACTATGTAGACCAGGTTGGCCTTGAAGTCAGAGAGATTTTCCTACCTCTGCCTGCCAAGTTTTGGGATTAAAAGCATACATCACCATGTCCAACCCTCAATACAGGTTTAAACTCTGTGGGAACTGAAGACCACAGACCTCCTTTGAACTGTACTTGCCACTTCTTGCTTCACTGTCCACCTTGGTCCCTAGTTCTGTGACGTGTGTGTTGACCTGGTCCCAAATCAAGCTCCAAGGCAAGCAGTTGTGGAGTGGTGTATGTGTGAATAGACTGGTGACTCACAGGGTCAGGTGCTCTGGAGAACCTGAGTTGGACAGCCATCCCAGCCCTGGCATGCCCAGGTAGGCGAGGTTCTGGGCCCCAGGCAAGAAGCCAGTTTCCCAGTGGAATGTGCTAGGGCTCTAGGAAGGTCTAGGCTGGTGTCCCCAGCCAGGGTGGTGAAACAGGTACAACAGAATCATCTTCCATTAGACACTGCGTACCTCTTCCTGGTAGCCCCCTCGCTGTACCCAGAGGTCCATCTGATGGCCCAAGGCCAGCAGGTCAGTGAGACTCTTTCAGTGTGTAAGAGAAGTTCAAGCAGAGAGACGGTGTGTGTGTGTGTGTGTGTGTACACATGTGTATAGAGGTCAGAAGATAACCTTGGGTGTCGTTCCTCAGGTGCTGCTACAGTTTGTTTGAAACAGGCTCCCTCATTGGCCTAGAACTTTACCAAGAAGACTAGCTGGCCAGAGAGCTTCCAGAGACCCACCTGTCTCTGCCCTCCATCTCACCATTTCTGGGATTACAAGTACGTACCAGCGTGCCCAGCAAACCAGAGAGGCAATTAATGATCCTAACAAGTCCATACCTGATTCAATAACCAGCTCTTTTGGATGCCTGTTCTAAAGTGGCTGCACAACTGCATCTAGCTCCTGTCTGGCCATTGTATCAGGTGGAGAAAAGGCCCTCATGTCTATTGCTCATAAATCCAGTGGGAGACAGGGTTGGAGAGATGGCTCAGCAGTTAAAAGCACTTGGTGCTCTTGCAGAAGACCCGGGTTCAGCTTCCAGCATTCATGTGATGGCTAACAGCTGCCCATAAGTCCTATTCCAGGGATCCACACCATCTTCTGATCTCTGAGGGCTCCTTCAGGCATGTGGTGTACTTGAGCTCATGTAGGCAAATAAACACATATATAAATAAAATGAATGAATGAATAAAAGAATAGATATTTATAAGGAAATAAATCCAATGGGAGGAATGACTATGACCCAAGTATGCTGGGCTGTCTAGGACCTCACTTTTGCTGAGATGTATGCTACCGAGGAGACCAAGACTTCAACAGGCCCCCACCTGCCCTCTCCGGCACCAGGGAATTCCATGAGGGTGAGGACAGAGAGCAGGCTGCCATGGATAAAGCCTCTCATGGAGTTTCCACGTTGCTCTGCCTTCCTGCCAATCAGAGCTGCTCCAAATGGGAGTCCCACTAGCTCACTTGGCATGGAGCAGAGAAAAACTGCAGGAAATGTCTGGAAGAATCCGTGGCCATGAAGAGCTTCACTAAGCCTGCTCTGTGCTGTGGGTCTCCCCTGAGGTGGGATAGAAGAGGCATCTCACATGTGGGGCATCTGCAACAGTCCCTGTCCATGGCAGGGCTGAAAGGTCAACTGTGGTCTTGGTTTTATGGGGGGGGGCGGGTCTTTTTGAGACAGGGTCTCCCTGTAGCCCCAGCTGGCCTGGAACTCACTATGTAGACCAGGCTGGCCTTGAACTCATAGAGATCTGTCTGCCTCTGCCTCCCGAGTGCTGGGATTAAAGGTGTGCGCCACCGTGCCCAGCTTCAACTGTGGTCTTGTAACTGGAGCTGTCAGTCACAGCCTAACAAGCCAGGTTCAGCCACTTGTCCTCAAATGAGCTAATTACAACAAAGAGTGGGGTCTGCAGGACAGTTCAGAGGGTACAGGCCCTAGCCATTCAGTCCCCAGATCCCACTTAAAGGTGGACAGAGATAACAAATTCCACAAAGTGATAACCTTTGACCTCCACATGCAACTCTGGCAACAGGCACGCACACACAAAAATAATGAATAAAAGTTTAAAAAGAAACACATAGTGAAAAGCAGAAAAAGGAGATTTATTCAATGTGGCCACATTGGCAAGAGAGGTAAAGAGATCCAGTGACACCCCTGGTCCATCTTGGGGTCTTAACATGAGGATAGTGTCTAAATAGAGGGCAAGAGGCAAGCATTGCTAAGCAGTCCTGTCAAGGTGTGGTCCCTCTCCAGTGCTGTTTCTGTCTCCTGCAAGGTGGTCTGACAAGTTGTCAGAACATTCTGGACTCTCTCCAGGACACAAGATCCTCTTCCAACTGGCACCAGACTCCAGGCTTTTCCTTCTCCCATCATTAGACTCCCGAGGAAAGTCTAAGTTCTTGGGGTGCGTTGTTTCATTAGTCTGATAGCCAAAAGGAGGGCACAAGCCTCTCTTTGGGGCTTCACACTCCTTACCAGGAATCTGGACTCTTCCCTCAGGCTCACATCTAGGCCATATTGACTCTTTACTTATTTTGAACCTTTTGCATATTTACTTTTCAGAGACATGACAGGTTGTTACAGCTGTTCTAGAGAATAACCAACACAGCCTGTGGCATTATTTTCCCAAGCCTTAATTCTTATGGGGGCTGCCTATAAGTGTGTCAGTCTCTGGGGAGCTGAGTGAACGCATTCCTCTGTGTGTCTGCCAGCACATCACAGAGGCTGTACCCACCCCTTCCAGAGCTGTCTGGGCATGTGATGTCCGGGAGAAGGAAGCCACCCTCCGAGGGTTCCCAAGTGAGTAACTAGTTTCGCTCGGGGTATTCAGAGGCCCTGGCAAAGCTGCAGGCACTTAAAGCAGCTCTAATAAAGTGTGAATAATGGTTTCAGGAGCGTGAGAAAGGCCTAGAGGACACACCCCACCGCATACATGCTGTCGTGTCATAGGAAAGCCTCTGGGGGGCAGCAAGGAGCAGAGACCGGTGGATGGTCACAGGGAAAGTGGGGATCCTTGGGAGTGAAGGGTAAAGACCCAAAGTTGAGCACGTGCCCACTGCTGCTTCTGTTGTAGAGGGTGGGCTCGGAGCCCCACCTTTTTTTAATAGATTTTTTTTTTTGGTCTTTTTGAGACAGGGTCTCCCTGTAGCCCCAGCTGTCCTGGAACTCACTATGTAGACCAGGTTGGCCTTGAACTCACAGAGATCCACCTGCCTCTGCCTCCCGATTGCTGCGATTAAAGGCATGTGCCACCACGCCTGGCCAAAATAGGTGTCTAAAAAAGATTTATTTCTATTTTATGTGTATGTTTTGTTTGCATTCATGTCTGTGCGTCACATGTGTTCCTGGCGTCCTCTGAGGCCAGAAGAAGGTGTCAGTTATCCTGAAACTGGAGTTTTTGATGGTTGTGAGCTGTCATGTGGGTCCTCTGCAAGAGCAGCAAGTGCTCTTAACCACTGAGTCATCTCTTTACCTCCTATAGATTCAAAAATATTTATTTGTGTGTGCATGCCTGTACACACACACACACACACTAGGAGGCCAGAAGAGGATGTGGGATCCTTGAAGTTGGAGTTACAGAGGGCTGTGAGCTGCCTGACTTAGGTGCTGGGAACTGAACCCGGGTCCTCTGCACGAGCAGCCAGTGCTCTTAACTGCTGAGCCATCTCTCCAGCCCCAATGATTAGCTTATTTTTATGTGCATGAGTGTATTGCCTGCATGTATGTAAGTGCATCCATGCATGCATGTGATGTCTGAGGAGGCTAGAAGAGGGCACCAGATCCCCTGAAATGGGAGGTACAGTTTTTAGCTGCCATTTGGTGCCATTTGTGTGTGAGGAACCAAGCCTGGGATTTAATCATTGAGCCATCTCTCCAGCCCTGAGGACAGTGTTTCCTGCAGTCCAGGTTCTCTTGAACTCATTCTTTTTCTGCCTCCACCTCCCAAATGCTGGGATTATAGGATGTGCCACCACACCCAATTTGTGTAGGGCAAAGGTAGAACAGAGGGCTTCTTACATGATAGGTAAGCACTCTACGAACTGTGCTACATCCCCGTCCCACTTTGCATTTTGAATGGCTATATTATCCCAAATGATTGGGCAACATCCTGCATTGATCATCTGGAAAACACTATGTGATATCTGATGTGATGCAGATCTTCCAACTGCTGTTATTGCATTACACAGTGTTACCACAGGACACGGGTGAGGGCAGGAGGGCAGAACATGCAAAGGACATTTTCATATATTGTAAAACCATGTTGAAAGTGTCTTGGTACCTCTAAGATCCATGGAGAACATGTGGGAGAACTGCC